GCTAGCCTGCCCTGCACTCAGTGAATCTACGTTCGACTACTCCGCCTAGGCTGCACTGTCGAGCGCAGATCCACTGAGTTCTCAACACAGACAGCATAGTCAGAAGGAAAGTTGATAAAAATAAATTAAAAAATTTGTATTGTTCGATACATATGCGTACCGAACGGAAAGCACTGTATCGAACGGTTCAATATCGATACGAGTATCGTTGCACCCCTACTAAACACTTTGACAATCATTTTTACAGAGTTATTCTGGAACAAGAAATGTCTTGTTTTGATACACATATCTATTTGATCAGAGAAAGTAACCAAGACCCAAGTTGAGATGTTTACTGACTGAGGACAAATGTGTTACATGCAAAGCTGTAATCAGTGAAAAGGATTCTCACATATATTCTTTTATGATCAAAATGTTTCTGTGCTATATCGTGGCCATGCTGATATCATTATCTGTGGATTTATTTCTACAATCATACAGGTCCTGTGTATAAAAATAGGCATATTTTTCAAATAGCTTCAACCCACATGTGAATATGCTGTTTTGGTCAGAACTGGAAATTCTTAGTGGTTATGGATTTTTAGAAACAGTGATATCAACACACCTCCATTGTTGTATTACAAAACAGGCTTGTGACTTATCCTGGTACCTTCATGGTTACCCCTGGGTTTTCCATACTTCAACGGTGGTCCACTTCTTACCAGGGGTATATCCTTATGCAAACTTATCCTGAAATCTTAACCTACTCTGGAGCAGGTTATGTTTGAGATTAGCGATCAACAGATATCTAATTACCACCTTCTGACCAATCATTTCTCTGGAAAACAACATAGCTCTGTGCATGGATAATGAATAGTAGGTCTGACTTTTATAATAACATCTGAAGACTTGGTTTGTTACCAATGAATGACAATAATATATATAATCTATCAGGTTCTCCCACTTCTTAATGATACACTTCTTGTTTTGGTACGTCTGTTAACTTACAGTGCACAGTTGGCTTTTATGGCAGATTTTCTTCCCATTTTCAAATAGGAAAACCTTACTCATATAACAACTCTTTCCCAGTCTTACTCACCAAAACTTTTAAAGTGGATGCACATTTATATAGTGCATTTAAGACTAAACTAAACTAAAATAACTAAACTAAACCTTTCCTCTTACAGAAAACACACTCACACAACTGCTTTATCTGGAGCAGCTGTGTTACTTTTGGATTATGTGTTTAACCTCTTCAGCTTTTTGTAGCATTGTAGTTTTATCTTCCTTTGTAAATTCACCAACAGTGCTGCTGGGACATATTTTCATGTCAACCTGTCTGGTTATTAGCTTGCCAAGTTAACCCTGCAAGTTGGTAACTTAGGGATTTACTAACTTAGGGTTAGTAAATCTAATTATTCTTATCCTTATTCGTATTCTTCTTCTTATTATTATTATTACTTCAAATTTGGTGATGGCATTTCTACTACTCAAATCTTAAGTTGCTTATTAGTTTTAGTACAATAAATGTATGCTAGCATACTAATACATAAAGGTATAAAGTAAACATCATTAAAAAATAAATGCATATTAAATGATTAAAAGTATTAAACGCAGCATTATTCTGTCTTTGTTGCCTCTTTCATAATGAAGTGAAACACTGCTGGTAACTTGAAGGCAACAACTGCTTTGAAAGTTCTTTTTAAAGGTTTAGCATTGCTTTAAGTGCAGAAAGAAGCCACACAGGAAAACGCCCCTGCTCATTGCTTTTACATTTGTCACGTGCCGACACAGTCAGGAGCACGGCATCA